TTCCTTCGAATGCTACAACCGGAGCGGTTTGTCTACACATTCCTATACCCAAATCAACCTCACTGGATGGCCGCCTTTCACCATCTCCTCTACCCACAACAAGTTGACTGCGCATGCTTTAGGCTGCGACACCCTGGTCTATATGTCTGAAAGCGAAGGAAGATTCGGGAAGTGGGTGCGTAGCTCTCTGCAATGATCGTAATGATATCGAAAATGATCGTTCATGCTCTGGCTTCGGATGCTGCCAGACCTCCGTCCCCAAGCACCTCAAAAAGTTGAGCATTGGGCTTACCAGCCTAAATAATCACAGTGATGTTTTGAATTTCAACCCCTGCAGTTATGCTTTTGTGGTTGCAAATTCCTAGAACACCTCGGAAATTGACTTCCAAGGTTATCCAACTGATGAAACTCCGTCACCGCTTGCCGTGCTTGAATGGGTGGTCGGAGAGCGAGACTGCAAAGCAAGTGAAGGTCAGTCAGGGTATTCATGCGGCCTTAATGCTGGCTGCCCTTATTCCGAGACTGGTGGTGGATCTCGTTGCCATTGCCTGCCAGGGTTCACCGGAAATCCCTATCTCCCGCGAGGATGCCAAGGTACCACATACACTTAACCTTCATTATATAAAACTCTATTTTTCTGAATATATAGAAGTTGAGTTACATCCATGGTCCCGTGGATTGTTCTAATTTAAATACTCCAGATGTTGATGAGTGCAAGGACCCGAGAAGTTTTCCATGCCAAGGTACTTGTCGGAATACCGTTGGGAATTACACGTGCGACTGCCCGCTTGGCATGCGTGGTGACGGTAAAGTTGGCTGCAAAAGACTCCGACCAACACCATTGCAATAGGTAACCAATCTTATGAAAATGAACCAACATGCCCTATCTATATATATGTTGAGAAGTTGATTGATTTTTTCCCTTCAAAATGCATGCAGTGATTGGAGGGGTAATTCTTGTTATTATTATCACCATCTTGATTTTCATTCTTGTCAAAAGAGGAAGAAGGAGAAATATTTAGAGATAATGGAGGTCTGATATTGAAGCACCAAAGAATCAGGATTTTTAGCAAGGCAGAATTGGTAAAGCCAACAAACAATTACGACTGTAGCCTGTTCCTCGGAGAAGGAGGCTTCGGTTCAGTCTACAAGGGAGTTTCAGGAGACAGCATCCTAGTTGCAGTCAAGAAGGCCAAAGATGTGGACAAGGCAAGAATGAACCAGGAATTTCAACATGAAATCAGCGTTGTTTCTCAGGTTAACCATAAGAATGTTGTGAAGCTCTTAGGTCTGTGTTTGGAGACCAAAGTCCAATTGTTGGTATGTGAATTCATTTCACATGGAACCCTCCACCATCATATTCATGACAAGAGATCACAAATTTTAGGGTCATGGAAGAATCGTCTAAGGATTACTGCTGAGACTGCACTTGCACTTGACTATTTGCATTCTTTAGCAGACACACCAATCATTCATGGTGATGTGAAGTTGACACATCAGATCTGTTGGATGATCATTACACAGCCAAAGTATCTGATTTTGGGGCTTCAGCTCTCATCTCACCAAACCAAACTGGAATAGGCTCCAAAATACAAGGGACATTTGGGTACTTGGATCCAGAGTATCTAATGACTGGTAATTTGACAGCAAGGAGTGATGTTTATAGCTTTGGGGTCGTCTTGGTGGAGCTGTTGACAGGGGAGCAGCCAACTTCACATAGTAGGGATGGGGAGAGGAGAAACATCATTCAGTATTTTATTTCATCTGTGGAAGATAATTGGATCATCCAAGTTCCTAATTTTGAGCCAGCAGATGATGGTGAAATGGTGGAAGTAGAAGCAGTTGCTAAGCTTGTTAAGAGATGCGTAAATGGTAGCAGCTTAAAAAGGCCAACCATGAAGGTTGTCGTGGAGGAGCTCTCAAGGCTCAAAAAGCTCAATGACAACTTGTGGGCTCAGCAGGGCAATGAAGAAATTGAGTGCTTGTTAGGAGAATCCTCATTACATACCAGTTATGAGTTTTCAAATATCAATATGGACCAAATGGATACATATACCGTGCGCACAACGTTTGACTTTGAACAAGGATCAACTGTTGGCATCTAGTACTTTCTTCTACTAGTCTTTCATATGTATTAAATTTAATTAGTTACAGCAATTGCATCAAACATGCTGTGCATTTGTGAGGCCTTTCCTTTTCACTTAGTTCTTGCTTCTTGGTTTTCTATGTATCCATATTCATTGGATAAAGTTTCAAGTGAAAGTGTTCTTTGAGCAAGATTTTCTGTTTAACATTTGAGAAAAAAAAAGCAGTTGACAATGGAATTGGATAGAGAGGCATGTATTAACAATTCATATGATTTGCATTCTCGTACCTTTCTTGTTTCTTCCATGTTTACTTGATGTTGATTTGATGTTGTATTATTGGTTATGTGCCTCATATTTCTACCTGCAGATATATGTTGTTTGAAAGAATTAAAGGATTTTCTCAGACCATAGTGGCCCCTGAATGCAGCTTGCCCTCATATATGTTTGTGGAGTTGTGCTAATGGTTCTGCTTGAGTCAATGAGGCTTGGATTTTAAGATGCTTATTCTCCTGTAAAGGTTGGAAAGAGAACAATATACCTTCCTCCTTTAACGTGTCTGGCCTTTGAGTGGTTGTGGTTAGGATTTTATGTTAATTGAACTCATCAAAGTGGGTCTTGAATTTACCTTTTCCCAATCTAGTGTGTTCAGATGGAAAAATTATTTATTTTCTGCAAGAATTTGTTGCCATTCATTTTGAGACCTTGTTCCCCTGCCTTTAATTTGATGTCTAGTTTCAATAGTCTCCATGTGTGCCCTTAAAGATGTCTGCTTTGGCCATGAAATGATTGACTAGTTCTAAAAATGATTTCTTAGTTGGTTACATTTGAACACTACTCTTCCTAGGTGACTTGCTAATAGTGCTTAGAGGCTGTATGGTGATGCAGTACTTTATTTGGCACTGATACAGTATTTGATGTAGAAGGTTCAGGACTTTCGCTTACCCAAAAAAAAAAAAAAAAAGCTTAAGAACATTCTTTGCCCTTTTTGTTCCCTTTTTGTTCCAGTCTTACCATTCATTTTTAGTCCTTGCTGCCCTGCCTCTTATTTGACACCTAGTTTCAATAGGCTCTGTATGTGTCCTTAAAGATGTCTACTTTGGCCACTAACAGACTGACAATTTTTGAAGGTAACTGCTTAGTTGGTTACATTTGAATATTCTTGCTGCTTTATTACTAATATCTTTTTTTTTTTTTGAAATGTAATTGACTTGCTAATAGTGCTTAGAATCTGTGTTATGCTGATTCAGTATTTTAATTCTGGTATTTAGACAGTATATGATGTGACACAGCGGAAAATATTTTGAAATCTATCTATATATGGGCTAAAGAAATTGATCTACACTCAACAAACCAGGAATGATGCATCAAGATGCTTGTTGGAGACAAAGTTGCATAGGTATTTAATTGAAGTAGTGAATTGTTTGACCAATTTTTCCCTTTGTTTTGTAGTAAAATTGCTACAATCTTCCAGCTTTTTTAGTTGTTCACATACAAATAATTTAGTTGTTGATATATTGATATATGCCTGTTTGATTTGTGAGTCTTCAATTAGTACCATATAATGGGTTTGCATAATCGTGGATAAGGTGCTACTTTGTTTTGCCAGTAACTTACCTCAGATCAATAGCAAAAAGTGCATTTTGGTTGACATGTATAAATGAAGGGAAATATGCAGTGTTATAACATGATTAATGATCACCATAAAAATTTGTTTTTGCCTGTGTAATTGCTTTGATCATACAAATAATTACTTTCCACATCCTAGTGTTCTGACGTGCAACTGCTAATATCACTCATCAAAATGGGTTCACTACATATCCTAGTGATCATACAAATAACTTGTCATTGGCTTTTGGGTTACCTATAGTGGTGGTTGAGACTTTATGTTAACAAAACTTGTCAAAATGGGTCTTGAGTTTATCTTTTAATGAACGTGGTCAATCTAGTGGAAAGATTACTTCCTTTTCTGCTAGAAATCGACGCTTTGAACTGTCTTTGTTAACAACCCGAAAAACTATGGTTGTTATTCCGGATTACTGCACAGCTAGTTGTTAATAGACTGAGCAAAGGTGAAGTGCAATCT